TCATCATCAACTACAAATGATTTGTTAAAAAACTCTTTGAAGAGTGCATTAATAAAATCCCAAAAAACTATGGAGGTAGCAAAACCTGATAAAACAACATCTGTACAAAAGGAGATGAAATTATTTGCGGCAACAGGTACAATAACTAATACTTTTAAAAAAATTTATGATTACATAATGACAATAAAACCCACATTGACAGAATCTGAATGAGTTTTTTCTTCTGCAAGTAACATTGTAACAAAGAAAAAAGTAGGTCTATCAGACCATTCAATTAATGTCTTGTGTTTTTTGAAAACTTATTTTAAAAACTTGATATAAAACTTGATGTCTTGTATTTTTTAAAAACTTATTTTAAAAACTTGATATAAAACTTGATGTCTTGTGTTTTTTGAAAACTTATTTTAAAAACTTGACATAAAACTTGATATCTTGTGTTTTTTGAAAAATTTTTTTTTTTTTTAATTATAATTTTCTTTGCAGAAAAAAATTCTTAAAAATCTGATTTTTTATATTTAAAAAATTTCCTGGTTCCCAGGAAATCTTGGGATCTTTCAAATTTTCAATCCCAGATCTCAGGAATGAAAAAAAGTCCGGGAATGGCACCTACTAGACATAAGGCTATCCCGCTGGATGCGGTTACAACGCTCAATAACCTAATGAATACGCTGACACATGCACATATATCCCCTTAGCATTCATTCTTTGCTCTTCTACTTCACAAAAGTGTTGCCACACATTTTATATTTTCTTATGATTTTTATTTTTTATTCAACGACACCATCTACAATCTGTTTTTATTTTCACATCTCCCAGGTCTACATAACTGGACAGCTCAGTTGGTCACTTTTTGCGATCTTTGTGTCACATAAACAAAAAAAGTTAAATGACAACCCAACTATTCATTTTCTTCACAAAGTTCAATCTCAGAAAGTTAAATAAGCTAGGATGTTTTACCAAAAAAAAATATAAAAATGTTTACCAAAGCATGAAAAAGGTTACCCGATGAGGTTAATTGTAAGCACCGTTGATACACCTACATATAGTATCTCTAAATATTTAGTCAATATGTTACAACCCACTTTAACTTAAAATGAAATGCATTTAAAAAATTTTCAACAATTTGTGGGTACAGCAAGATTATGGGAAATTGATTAGAATAAGTTTCAGGTCTCCTCTGATGTTAATTTGTACCCTTCGATTAAAAAAGAAATCATTAGTCGAAAGATTAAGAAACAACCAGAGCTTTTTTAACTTTAGAAGAGATCAGGTTACTTTTAAAACTATGTCTTTCTCATTGCTATTTTATATATGAAAATAATATTTATGAGTTCAAAAACTTCGGAATAATTGGGTTTGCTCTTATGGTGGTAGTTGTTGAGTGTTTTTTACAATATCATGAAAAGTAATGCTCTTTTATCATCTTTTCAGTAATGCTTAACAATAAAATCCATTTGAAATCATTTTAAAGATATGTTGATGATATACATTCAAGGTTCCAGGTAGAAAATCAACATTTCAAAATGTCTCCAAAAAGATTTGTGTCTTTACCCTGGATCCTTGTTATAAGTCCTAAGTTAAGTGTTTTTAAAAAAGCAGGATAGCACTAGCGTTTAAGTCTCCAAAAAATCTCCAAACTCTACTTAGTTCCAAAAATAAACCTACACTACCAACTCCTATCCTGGTGTTTACAAATTAGAGTGCTCTTGCGGCAAATGTTATGTTGTGAAACAGGACTATATATATAGTCACTTCAAAAACATACATTTAAATTCTTACGTCACAAAAAAAACTCTCTTAAAAAACTCTTAAAATAGAAGCTCTTACAAAGAACATTGTTTCGTAAGTTCAAACGGTTATGTATAATATAACAGTTTTTTTTTTAATAATGGTTTTTAATATACTTGATAACAAGTGTATCAATATTTCCTCAAAATATCGTAAAAATAAATATATTTTTAATATATTTTTGACAAATAGCCTTTTCACAACTCTCGCCCATTTTGAAATGGTTCCAAACTTCTGTGAAATCTTTTTAAACATTGACAAATAGAAATAAATCCATAACTTGCATGGTCATATAAAGACGTGAAATCGCACGTCTTCCTGTGAAAGCCTGTAACATCTGATGATCCCTATTTGCATGAAAGACTAAGTAATGTTTTAAATAAATCGAGTGTTATAATTATTTAGTTTTTACTATATATATATATATATATATATATATATATATATATATATATATATATATATATATATATATATATATATATATATATATATATATATATATATATATATGTATATATATATATATATATATATTTATATATATATATATATATATATATATATATATATATATATATATATATATATATATATATATATATATATATTACTATTAATATAATTTAACCAATAAAATGAAAAATCTATGTCAAGCAAAATAACAACTTCAAAAAAAGTTTTTTATATTTCTAAAAAGATATTTAACAAAATACTACAAAATATAATAAACACTAGAGGCCTTTCAATGTTTTATCAGTAGTGCTAGTTTAAGTGCTCTTTTATATATATTTCTACACACTGCTTTTGTTTTGTTTCGTGAAATGCAATACTCATTATATGTTTTTTCATTTCTGTTTAGTATATATTGATGATATTTTGCTTGTTTGTCTTTAAGTTCATGGATTATTTGAGAGTCTATCCATTTTGAACGTTTTATATTTTTAATGTTGGATTTTGGTATGTTATTGTTTATACTATTTTTAAGTTTATTGAAAAATATACTCTATAATTGGTCCGAGTTGGATGTTGGACAAAGTTTAATATTTGCAAAGTCTTCATTAATTTTATCATAGTTCCCTTTTGAATATAAATGTTTTGTAAAGTATGGCGGTATATTTATAATAGATTCAATTGATATAGTAAAGTATAGTAATTGATGATGACTTTTGCCAATGGGTGCTAGATGAGTTAAAAGGGAAATCATGTTTTCATCAGAAGTATATAAGAGGTCAATTGTAGTTGGATTTTGATTTTGTCTTATGTGTGTTGCATTTGAAATATGTTGGGTTAGAAAAGAATCAAGAATATTTTCAGTAAACTTAATTGATTTTGTTATAGGTTGTTTTGGATTTCGCCAACTGATATCTGGGTAGTTGAAATCTCCGATAATAAGAATGTTTGGATACTTATTATAAAATTGGCGGTATGGTGATTTATGCAGTTTGTGTTTTTATTGTTACTGTTTGGTGATCTGTAATATAAGCTTAATAACAACTTAGAAGTTTTTGTTGTAATTTCACAACTGAGCGATTCGGATGGAAATATATCAAGATTAAATAAGGACGACTTTAGTTTGCAATGTATAAATATTGCTAAACCTCTTTTGCAGGAATTTTTGCGGTGGTTTGTATATAGTAAGTAATTTTCAATAGCAAACTCGAGATCGTTAATTTCAATTTTTTTGTTTTTAGGTAGAGTTTCTGTTAAATAAAATAATTTGGGGTTTATTTAATAGAGAGTCAATATTTGTGTAGATAGCTTTTAAGGATTTAATTTTAGAAATTTTTTTACTGGTTTGTAAATTAATCCAACTTTTTTTAATAGGTTTTTTATATTTTTCATTTACTAAAATTGAGTTTGATAACTTCGTTGCGCCTAATGCACCATCGAAAGGGTGAGTTTGGTTCAATTTCTAGGAGTAATTGGTTGTTTTTATTTCTTTCCTTTCTTAGTTGAGAATCGATTTACCTTTCGGCGAGAGTCATCCGGATTAATGAAGATATTTGTATAGTTTACGTTTTTGCGTAATTCCCTTGATGCAAGTAAAACTTTTTTAATCTTATTATTTTAATAGGTTTTTCATTGCTTTTTCCAATTTCCTCAAATATCTTGTTAATTTTTTTTTTTTTTTGTTGTCTTTGTTTTTTTCAAGTTCATTTAAATTATTTGATTCTGGAATTCCAAAAACGATAATGTTCTTTTCACGCTTTTTTTTCTCTTCCTGTTCAGATAATTTAGTTTTTGTAATTGAGTTTACAACAATGGCTTTTTCTGCAGATTTATTTTTATTATTAAGATTTGACCAAAATGTAGCTGAATTATTTTCGGTTTCTTTTTTCGATTCTAATAATTCAATTCTTTTTATAAGATGTTGAATGGTTTCATTCATTTAATCATGAATATGTATACTTAGAACAACATTATTTAATCATGAATATTGGGATTTAGTCGTGTCGATTTTAGTGAAATTAGGATTATATAAAAATAATAATAATATACAACAATAATAATAAATAACAAAAAATTTATTAAGCAATTGACAGCAAGAAAAATAAAAATATAAAAATAGAGCAAAATAAACATACAAAATACAATAAAAATATATATGTAAAAAACATTATAGACTTTATATAAAAAAGAAAACCTTAAACACAAATTATTATTTGTTTTTTTTTTAAACAAATAAGGATATATAAAGCTATATAAAAAAAAAAAAAAAAAAAAAAAAAAAACTAGAAATATAAGCTTGGAAATAGAGAATATAATAGTTTAGGAAAACTAAATATTAATAATAGATTTAAGAATTTATAATAGATTTAAGAAATTTAAATCTTACGTTGAAAAAACACGTCTTATTACTTTGAAAGCGGAAGTCAATTTTAGAATATATTTTTATCTATATATATATGTATATATATAATAATTTATTCATATAAATTGTTAATAAAAAAATTATTGATAATATATATAGTACACAATTATAAGATTTTTTTTTAAATATATATGCAGTTTTAAAACATTGCAAGTAATTTTGTTTATTTTACTGTTATTTAGTAAATTTAAAAAAAAAAATTTGTTCTGCTAAATACTATTTTGTTAATTAAACATTTGATGTGGCTTGATGACAAAAGATGCAATTAAAAATAATTGATGTGACTTGATGCAAAATGTGCAAGTGGATGTATATATATTATTTATATATGTTTTAGGTTCTAAAAGTATGAAGAAAGCCAGAAACTCAGTTACTGAAGGAAAAAATCAATGTGATTCTAATACCAATCCTTGCAATATATTTTCTAATGACTGCGAGATTAGTGAGGCTACTGAATTTTGTAGAGACAAAAAAGCTACTCAGTTTAACTCTATAGAAAAATTTAAACATGTTAAACAAAAAAAACATCAAAGTCAATCGCAAAGTGATGTTGTTTCTGACACAGTATGTTTATTTATGTTTTTGTTTATTTTAAAGAGAAGTTTAGTTCTTGCCTTGAGATTTTTTTTCTGTGTTATCAAAAAAAAATTTTAAAGTAATTATTTTTTTTGATTGTTTATTTTATTGATCTTTATTTTAAATCTGTTAAACTAAAGTGTGTTAAAAATAAAAACAAAATGCTGTAAAATAACATTCCAGTTTGTATATATAAAATATACTAGTTTGTAATAAAACTTCTTCCCTGCTCCATTGAAGTTTTTCATAGAAAAACTTGAAAAGTAATGAAAATTTTTTGCTATTTAATTTTCTTTTATTTATCTATTATTTCCTTTTTATTAAAGTACTAAAAGTTCAAAATTTTGTATTTTCTGAAATATCTGAAATTAATAAATTTTAACAAAATGAAACTTATTTTATAAAAAAAATTAAAAATTATTTATTTACATAATCTATTACATGTTACTATTACAAGTAGAACTACTATTACATTATATTACAACTATTACAAGTATTATTTACCTAAAAACATAATATATATATATATATATATATATATATATATATATATATATATATATATATATATATATATATATATATATATATATATATATCAATAGTTTCTATATTAATAATAAATATGGCTTATGCTAGTTTACAAGTTTTTTTTTTTTTTTGGCTTTTTTTATCTTTCAAATCTTTTTAAATATTGCTTTAGTTTTTAAAATTTGTCTTATTCGTTGTTTGTAAAAGATACCTTAAAAAAATGTTTTTGTTTCCGTAAATAATTGTAACTAGCTGACTAGACCCGTATAAATGCAGGTCTTTATAATTCTATACCACACCAACTTTTTCCTTATAAATATATACTAGCTTTCCAGAACCATAACAATCCAAAGTACAAATACTTCATACCCGATTCGAACAATGACAATATAATGTATGAGAAAGATCTAGGTATCAGTTTCTCTGCTAATCTTAAGTGGAAACAACATGCAATTAGCTCTGCATCTAAAGCAAATCGAGCTCTTGGTAAAACGCACTTTTAGTTACATTGATAAAGAGATGTTTAAAGTTCTCTGCACTACACTTGTCCATCCACATCATATATACGGTATCGCTGTATGGTCTCCTTACCTTAAAGGAGATATATCTGTATTAAAACGAGTACAGAGGCACGCAACTGAGCTAATTTCTTCTCTTAAAAAGATGACATATGAAGAAAGACTCATGAGTTTAAATTTAACAACACTTTTAACTCAGCGAATAAGAGGTGATTTGATACAAATTTTTTTAAATCAGCAATAAAATAGATAATATAAATCTAATCTTACATGGATATAACTTCTTAGAGCAAATAAAAATACAAAATAGTCAGATTAAGATATGCGGACACAATTTTAAATACAGAGCCGAATTTACTAAAAGTGCTTCAAGACAAAACTATATCCTTAATCAAGCAGCAACTGCATGGAATGAACTACCGGATAAAGTAGTCGATTCTCTTAACTTAAATGGGTTCAAAAACAATCTCCACAAGTATCAACAAAAGAACAATAATTTAAGAAACTTATCTTTGTGAATGGCTGTTGTGAATGGCTGTTTCAGTGTGTAAATCACACTTGCTGTATTAATACACTCACATCTTTATTAATAAATAAAAAAATAAATAAAATGAGGGTCTTAACCAAACCTACCATTTCTACACATATCTATTCCACACAGATCATTTCTATTCCTATTCCTTTTTTGCTTCAATATTTTTTAGTAAAATAATTCATTCTAAAAAATTGCTTTAAGAGTAATAAAATTAAAATGCACACCTTTTCCACATATGTTGACAGACCTCAACGGGAGTAAATAAGCGCAAGAGCAAAGAAAAGCTTTTCTAAAATAAACATGGCGAGCCATGCGAACTGCTCCTCTAAACAACTTCTTACGAGAGCTTTTGGTTTTGGTATGAGCTATCTGTTTATTTGTTAAAAAAATTGCTAAAGTACAAAATTTGGTTTTATACTTGTTACAAGCATATGCTTGTAATGTTGATGTTACAAGAATATATACATAGCGAATGTCATTTATTGCACTGTGAATAAATTCTTTAGACAATTGTTGTCTTTGGGTTTTCACATTAGCTGTTCATCTATTTATTAATAGCATTAATTATTTCATAAAAAATTAGACTAAGAGGTATAAAAGATTTTACTTGTTATGAAAAATGTTTTTTATTTCCTTATGGTAATAGAATGCAGACATTTTAAGAATTATTACAACAATTAAAATTCCACAATAAAAGTGAATAATATGTTAAAGTAATTAATATATAGTTCATTACATAAAATAAAAATTATTATGCAATAATTTAGAGAGTAATAATTTTATTTTTTTATCAATTAAAATAATTTTATATTTTATCAATATAATTTAGAGTGTAATAATTTTATATTTACAAGTTTTCTCATTTTATAGATATATTATACATCATTGTTGCATATACTGCCTTCAAACTTAGCATATGCTAAAGACGTGTACACTTTCAGAAGTGTATGTAATGCTATACAAATGTATGTAATGCTATACAAATGGCAAAACTAAGAAGTTTTTAGACCATTAAAAACTGTAGACGTGGTCTTACCTATAAAACGCTAATCTAAAAGTTTAGCTGAAAAAATTTTGTGATGTTTGTGGCAAAAAAAAACCTCTATACATCAAGTTTAGTTTTACATTTTTTAATTAATTTAATTATAGTGCAATAAAAAATCAAACAATATAAAACAATTGCACAAAAATATATAAAACTGTTACAGTTATATTATTTTATAGATAAGGGTTTGTATGTATTACAATAGTAATAAATAAATAGTTTTAAAAAAATAATATAGTAATTAATATATTTAGTCTTTATTACAGTTATCCCATAAAAATATTTTCTCTATATTTTTTAATAAAAGGAGCTTTCCTAAACAATGTAAACATAATCATATTTCAAGTTGGTTTTTTAGCACAAAGTGATGTCACATATGCAAAAATTTTGGCTTTAATGATTTACAAAAAAGTAACGCCTATCCTATTCAATGGTCTAATTAGTCCAAAACATTTTAAACAGAATTTTCTGCTTCTAATATCTAAACGACTGTGTTAAGAAGATGGCATAATTTTAGCAACCAGAAATTATCAAGAGAGAAAGGCAAATCTAAAATTGAAGTTTCAAATTTTCCACTTGGATAAAAAAATGTTTTGTATTTTTTCAATCTTGTCAATTTTTTTAAATGCAATAATATATAAACAAAAATTCAAAACAAACAGCTTGACTTTTAATTATTATAAAAGTTTACTTATATTACATATGATCCTAAATAAAACGTTATATAAGTGGATTTTTCACATCTGCATATAACATATTTGTTTATATATATTGTTTACATAGATTTGTAGCAAAAAAATAAGTATAGCAAAAAAATAAGTATAACAAAAAAGACTTTTAATTGCTAAAATAAAATTTAAATTTTTTTCTAGCTACCATTTTTTTTTTTTTTTTTTTTTTTGCCTCTACACCAACACTTTCTGGAGTAGGAGGACTGTCTTATTAAATTTTTTCTTTATTAAGTTTCAGATCATATTTTTTTTTTCAGACTATCTGGACAATAACGTGAGCACATTAATAACATAAACATCATTATATGACTCATACGCAACAAATTTCCCCCTATTTTTTGATATTTTAAAATTTTTTAGCTTTTTTAAAAATCTCTTTGTTTGTTAAAGTGTATCTCTTTGTTTGTTAAAGTGTATCTCTTTGTTTGTTAAAGTGTTTCATTACATATGTTTGTATATAATCTCTATAAAACTTTAAAAGTATTTTGTATTTTAAAGTAATCAAAAAAAAATTAAAAAAAGATAAGTAGGCAGTGGTAGGATTTGAACCACTTTTTTGTTCAGAAGCCAGGGCTTAATTTAATTTTTTATAAGGTCCCGGACAAAATGTCTGACCAAAAGTTATTTTGGTTGGACATTGTCCGATCAAATTTTTGAAATAAACTTTAAACAAATAATTTTCACCAATATTTACATATATTCATATTTGTTTAGTTAAAAGGAACACAGGAAAAAGTTCTTTAAATGCCGAGAGTAAAAAAGTACTGCAGATAGGTTTTTTTAGACTAGCTTCTGGTGTATCTGAGTTTTTATTTATCTACTTTTCAAAAAGGCACTCCTTCTTTGGCAGACAAGTTTCATAAAGCTAGAACTTTTTAATCTTTTATATATATATATATATATATATATATATATATATATATATATATATATATATATATATATATATATATATATATATATATATATATATATATATAATAAATAATAAGAAAAAAAATACAAATAAAGATATAGTTTAAAAAACGAATAATAAATAACCGAGAAACTACTCAAGCTAAAATAGAATGATTTGGATGATTATAACGTTAATATTTAAATGTATATTTTCGTGATGTTTTTTTAAAAATATTCCATCGATGAGATCTCAGCCTCTAAAAAAACACACTTGTAAAATCTTTTATTATCAAATTTTTCAAACTGCTAGCTTTTCTTTGCTTTACGGTTTCCATGGCGTTTGCAGTAATCAATCAAACATACTTTGACTTTTGCGATCGTTTTAAATATGCAATAATTTTAAATTTAATAATAAAACAATAAAACTGTTAAAGAACAGTCATTAAAACTACAATTAATAATAGCGCTTTTTTTGGGAATGAATGCCCCCATTATCAACATATTTTATAAGTTTGTCTAATAGTTTACATTAAGTTTAAATTTGTCAATTTCAAAGCAACAAATAAAATTTTATTTTAAAGAATTAAAAATCTTGGCGTACAAAATGTTCGATGACTTTGTAAATTGATCGGACAATCTGAGGTTTTAGCCGGACAATGTGCTAGCTTTACCACTCGGCAAGGCTAGCACATTGACTTACAAAAATTTTAAAACTAAATAATAATTTTTTA